ATATATTTTTTTTTATATATATATATTTTTATTTATTTATATATATATATATATATATATATATATTATTGTGTAAGCTATGGATGGCTTTTTAAGCTAAAGCGCTCTAAATGTGTAAATATTCCGTTTTTTATTTAATATTTGCCAACCACTCCTCATCTCTGCCACAATGTAAACTGTGGCAGAAACGTCCTGATACATGCTCAATGCAGAAACGGATGTCGAGTGTCACGACATTCTCACCAACCACAGCTGAAACAAAGTGCTGAACACTAGTAATAAATAAGATAAACGAAAGCATAAAAATAATGTGACAAAGCTAAGCACACAATGAATTTAAAACACAATAAAATGACGAGTTAAACAGATTAAATCAATACCAATAAAAATTAAATAAAATCAAGTCTCGGTTGGTTGAAGGCCCATGAGTAGAGATGTGTTTTCAGACAGGTTTTAAAAATGGACAGTGAAGGGGCCTGTCGAACGTGCAAAGGCAGAGCGTTCCATAACTCAGGGGCATGAACAGAGAAGGTCCTGTCTCCTCTGAGCTTCCTCTTGGGAATGACCAGAAGCAGCTGGTCAGCAGACCTGAGTGACCGAGGGGCAGTGTAGTGGGGGAGAAGCTCTGTTAAATAAAGGGGGGTAACGCTGTTGAAAACTCAAAAAACAAACAAAAGAATTTTAAAATGAACTCTAAAATACACGGGCAACCAGTGGAGAGAAGCCAGGACAGGCGTGATGTGTTCCTGTTAAAAGACGTGCAGCAGCGTGTTGCACCAGCTGCAGACGTGTAAGTGAGGACTGGCTGACTGAAGATAGAGGGAATTACAGTAATCCAGCCGTGATGAAATGAAGGCATGGATTACTGTTTCAAACTGTTGCCTTGAAAGAATAGGTTTTGCCTTTACTATTTTTCTTAAATGATAAAAACCAGACTTAACTGTGGCCGTTATTTGACTGTCGAGTCTAAAATCACCGTCCATCTTAAAACCAAGATTTGTAACTGGATTTTACGTACATTGTCAGGGGGTCTACGTCATCTGGAGGGCTGAACAAGCTCCACTAAGTCCAAAAACAAGTACCTGTCTTTTTTTCATTAAAATGCAGGAAGTTTACGTCCATCCAAGCTTTAAGATCCTCAAGACATGATAAAAGAGGTTTGATGGACCAGGCATCAACTCTCCTCAAAGGCACATAGATTTGGCAATCATCAGTGTAGCAGTGAAAGTAGATGCCACATTTTCTACAAATCGATCTTAGAGGAATTAGATGTAAAGAACAAAGCAAATGCCCTAAAATTGAGCCCTGGGGAACCCCACATGACAGAGGAGCAGAAAAGGATTCACACCCTGCAACTTTTACAGAAAATGTTCTGTCTGCCAGATAGGACCCCAACCGCTGCAGAGCAGTCCCAGCAATGCCTACTTGGTGCTGTAGATGTGACAATAACATGCTGTGGTCCACTGTGTGAAAAGCAACAGTGAAGTTCAGTAACACAAGGGTCACATGATCACCTGAGTCACGTGCCAGGAGGATGTCATTAAAAACTCTCGGCAGAGCTGACTCTGTGCTGTGGAGTTTTAAAATCCAGACTGGGACACATCCATGATGTTATGTTCATCCAGGAACTTCTTGCTCTTGCCAATAACTGTAGTATTCAGTGTAAATAATTAAAATAGAAAGAAAATAGGGTTTTGCTTGAATTGTTCTGTTTTTAAAATTTAAGTTGATGAAGCAATCCACTGTTTTTGGACCGGCTCGGTCTAGTTAGCTCATCATTGTAGTTTAACTCTTTTTGCTCCAGATTAAGGCTGTTCAAAAAACTATCTACAACTATTAACGGTTTGTCTTTACACAGAACCTCGTTTCAAAAAGGTCTAAATATGAAAACGACAACAACTCCAGTGTTCTCCCTCCAGCTTGGATCTGTTCTGTTTAACAATGTTTGTTTTCCACTCTTAATCAAGATCAGTGTTCATAACACAAAGTTGCATGTGTGTATATGATCAAATAACATTTTACCCATAAAGGTGAGAAACTCTACTGTGACCAATTCTTCTAAAAAAAAATAAAACTTTCTCATCCTACACAGCTATAAGGATTTAATTTGAAAAGTCTCACTAAGGTCTGACTATAAACTTACATTTAAAATGCTCTTTGTAATTTGTTTTTAGATTACGTGTGTTTCTTTACACTTGATGTTTTTACTTTTTCTGTGCCTTTCTGAATGGAGAGAACCTCTCTGCACTTTCCAGCCATTCACGTTGTCACAAATGTGTGGCCTGCAGAGTTTGTCCAAGAAAACATGAAGAGTAATCTGACAGCAAATAAGATACTCACTGTATAGTAGCTAAATTCAAGTCAGACATGCCTTATCCCATGTATGGTTATTTATTTGTACTGTATCTTGTTATACAATGCACGAGGGGGTGAGGTTGTTTTCATAGTTCAGCATGTTGCATGCCTACTTTATTTTATTAGGCTCACATTACTTTAAATAAAGAGCGTGAGAAAGATCATGCAGAAAACTTCAGCATTTAGGACGTTCCTCTTACCCTGATTCTACATTTAAGCTTGGTTTCTCATCAATAAAAATATGGAGTCAAATGTTCTCACTTGTTTACTGGTGACCCTGAAAAAGATTTTAAGTGTTTTTAAAAATACAGAGGATCTGGTTTTGGAGAGGGTGAATTGGAAATACCCTTCGTTCACCGGTCCATGTTTTGAGCATGATAACTTGAAGCATTCGTGAGGTACCGACTTCCATTTTGGAGAGTGGCTACAACTAGGTGTAAGAGATCATCAAACATTGGGTTGCCACATCAAAATCCAAGATGGCCACCGTCATATATACATGTAAACCAACCACTTCAATCATTTGAGGAAACTGCTGTCTAGATTTTATATTGCCTAGATAAGAAGTATAGTTTCTTCAAATAATAGAAGTGGCCGAAGTTTAATCTATGGTAGCCAAGGCCACCAGTGGCCACCCCCTGACTCCGCCATTGCACTTGGTGGTGAATAAAATTGCTTCCTCCACTCAACAAGATCTGTCCCACTGTCTGTGCTGCCATGAATGAGCAAAAAAGATTTAAAAGAAAACCGTTCTCCTCCAGTGTAACTCTTACCCACTTGAATATCTTGTACCAAAAACATTTAGGTTTACTTCCATTCCCTGTTCAGTGCCAGTCCAGAAAAACCCTCGTCTACAAACTACAAAATATTCAAATCCCTCAGAGACGGAGACATTCTTGTCCATTAGACTGTAACAGGTCCCAGAAAGCAGAATCAACGAGCCTGTTCTGATGCTGGGCTGAAGGTCAGCTCCTCTCCGGTTTTTGACCTTCGACTATATCCAGCCTTGAAAAAG